TATGGGTGGTCTCAAGCTTCCACCCGTCTAAACAGACTGTGAGACCAAGCCTGCCACCTTTAAATTCTGGAACTGTTGATGTAAATCTGCCCTTGATGGACTTCCAGGATAAATCTTGGGAGTGTCTTCTTGAGAAAATTCCGACCCCAATTGTCTCTCTTCCCTCCAATCTGACAGAATAGCAATATGCCTGAGGCTAGAGAAAGATTTCTCTTCAGACAGCTGGGTTACATCTGGGTTATAACAACTTCTTGAGTTGAAACACTTTGGTATAGCTCCCAAATCTCTTTCTTCTACTGCCATTCTGAAAGCATCCATCATCTCCTCCAAACAAGGGCTGGCAGATCCAGTTAATGCTCTGGAGGGAGGGCCCCCATACGTTCCCTCCTGCACATCTCCAACTTTGGCTGATTGTTGATCTTTCTCCATCTCTGGGAAAAGAACTCTAGGGTATCAGCCAAGCCCCTTCAAAAAATTAAAGTGGATTTTTGGAAATAAATGTATGGCATCCAGAAAGTATCCATGATATCAATCACTCTGAGACATTTTCTCTCCAATTGATTTATTTAGAAACATCTGGTATGTCTAAAGCAATTTCCCAAAGTGAAAATATTTTTGTGCATTACACAGAATCCACCTTCTCTCATCTCACTTCTACACTTCATAAATCATGAGAACCAATTAACTGCAACTGGAATTTCTTAATATGACATACAGAAAAACATTGAACTTTTCAACTCCTCCAACCCCCTTCAAATAAAATGTGGCAGCTGAATTTCAAAGCTGACACTTAGGTCTGACCTGCAGGGCTGCCCTGGAGCCAGCAAGGGGCTACCCACTTTGGCCCCACCCTCTCAGCCCTGCCCCCTGGGTGTGTGTACAGAAGGCAGCAAGCGTTGGCTCCTGGGTGAAAGGGAAGCACTTAGAACACAGTCAGCCTGCTGGGCAAGACAGTCCCCAGGGATGTCAGTTTGTGTGCTCCTTGTCTCCTGTGCGTGGACCCAGGGGACAGGTGGGGATGGCCACTCACTGGCTCCAGGGCACCCCACAGATCTAAGGCTAGACCATGTTCCGGCCCAGATGGTCACCAAGTTGTAGATCAGCTCCTGGTTGGTCTGGCCCAGGCCATTGGGGGCTGGTCCTTTGCTGTTTCCAGGGCAATCTCACGGACCACATCTATTTACATTGCAGGCTGGATCCAGCCTGCAGCTCTTTTATTGACAATTGTATAATATATTTGAAAAAACATACTATGTAAATATGAAGTAGCAAAGTGTGTGAGGTGTATGTAGAACACAGAATGGATGGTACAACTCTATGGTATAGGTGACCTCTCTGGTAGCATTTAGAAAATTAGCTTAAATGCAACTGTTCCAGCAATGTTTAGCCCTTTGAGCTCAAAAAAACAAGTTTTTTTTAAGCGCCTCTTTAAATTTGTTTTAAATTAAGTTTGTAAATTATTTGTTCCTAAGAATCATGATGTGATTTCCTGGTAGTTCAAGGTGGATTACTGTAATTGATAGGTTGAGACTCCAAATCTTTGGTATATGCAAATAAGATACAACATTCTGAGATATTTCTGGACTTGACTACATCCATAAATAATTTCATACTCCTGAAAACTACCAGACTATTTTCACAATGTCTGAGCAGCATGGAATAGATGAAGAATGGAATACTGCAGAATCTTGAAATATATTCTGCCTCCAAAGGAAGAATGGTTTGGACATACCTTTTAAAAGTTATTTAAGCATGCAAGCTGGACATCTTTTCCTTGTTGCATATTACACTTGAAATATTAATATTTCTTAATACTATAAAGTGGAATAATAAAAACAATACTATCCAAAAATATGTGAATTATGCTTTCTACAAACTTTCCAAGGTGATGTGAATTAATATTGACAGAATCCTTTAAATGCCCTGGCATTTGAGAAATGTCAAAAGTAAAGAGTCCCCAATACCAGGAACCACAAATACAAAAAATAATCATCATCTAATTTTAAAAAAAGTGATAGTATAAACAAAGCCAACATGGTTCCACAAAAAAGCATTGTGAATTTGGATACCACATATGTCGGAGTATATTCATTAACTGGAAGAGACATGGTTAACAAAGTCAGCAAGTGAGTAAGCATAGCAACAGAACAGCCAATGGGAGCTGATAGCCTGGGTGTGGTTTGGCTCTGTACTTTGCTAAGAATTAAAACTGAAACTGCTCTGAGCTGCTGCTGCTTGTGTTTTGCTTATGTTACATTGAAATAATCTACAAATGGTATTGTAAACTTTACTCATTTACTACGTTTATAAAGAAGTTAATGATCCTGCTGAATCAGTCATCTGTTTTCTGGACTTGAATTTCTGCTGCAAACTCTAACAACATGCACATATGAGGAAGTGGACAGGATCCTAGGGAGTACACATGCCAGCACCTGTGTTTTAGACCCATGTCCCTCCTGGCTTGTGAAAGCTTCCCAGGAGGTGACACGTGGGTGGACTCTGGCTGTGATGAATGCTTTCCTACAGGAGGGGACGGTGCCCCAGCATTTTAAGGAGGTTGTGGTCTGCTCTCTTCTTAAGAAGCCATCTCTGGACTCCACCAGGTTGGATAATTTCTGACCTGTCTCTAATCTTTCCTTTTTGGGGAATGTTGTTGAGAAGGTAGTTGTGCAACAGCTCCAGAGGTTTCTGGATGGAATGGATTATCTCAATCCCTACCAGTCAGGATTCAGGCCTGTATTTGGGACAGAAACGGCATTGGTCGCACTTTTGGATGATTTCTGATGGGGGTAGTGTATCCATCCTTGTTCTATTTGACCTCTCAGCTGCTTTTGATACCATTGACCATAGGATTTTCCTGGGGTGGCTTTGGGGGATGGGAGTGGGGGGCCTTGTGCTGTCCTGGTTCACTTCCTTCCTCTGTGGCCACTCTCAGTGTTGATAGGAATGGGGAGATCCAGCCCTCGCCCACTGCTTTACACGGTTCTGCAGGGCTCAGTAGTCTCTCTGAGCATTTATATGAAGCCACTGGGTGAGATCATCCATCACCGTGGACTGAGATATCACCAATATGAAGATGATACTCAGCTGTATGACTCAGCCCGTGGTGTTAAGTGTTGCTGTGTTCTCCCTCTCACAGTGCCTGGAGGCTGTTAGGAGCGGGATGGGGAGCAATGGGTTGAAACTAAACCCTTGCAAGACCAAGTGACTCTAGGTTTGGGGTTCATTGGCTCAGGGAGAATTGCCATCTTTGGTCTTGGATGGGGTGGCTCTACCCCAAACAGACCCAGTGCATAACCTAGGGCTTTTCCTGGACTCACAACTCCTGCTTGAAGAGTTGTGCAACAGTTATGCCCTTTCCTGGACCAATGGTCCCTACTCACAGTCACTCATGCCCTGGTCATTTCCCATCTTGATTATTGCATTGTGCTCTACATGGGACTGCCCTTGAAGAACATCCAGAAGCTCCAGTTGGTGCAAAATGTAGCGGCCCGCATGGTTTTGTGCAGACCTCAGTGTGCACATATTTCATCTTTCCTGTGGGAGCTGCATTAGTTGCCGATTTGCTTCCGGGTGCAATTCAAGGTGCTGGTTGTCACCTTTAAAACCCTTCATGGCTTGGGACCAGGTTATCTGAGGGACCATCTCTTGCCGGTCACATCTACCCGACGCATCAGAGTGAGGAGGCAGGGAATGTTGCAGGTCCCATTCCTGAGGGAGATACACCTAGTGGGACCCAGAAGAAGGGCCTTCTCCATGATGGCTCCCTCTCTCCGGAACATCATTCCCCCAGATATTAGAATGGTCCCCTCTCTAATCTTCTTTTGGAAGGCACTGAAGGCCATGGTTCTGCCGGTGGGCCTGGGGAACCCAGAGCGGGATGGAGCCCATCAAATGCTCATTTGATCTGCTGTTGTCGGGGCAGGGGGGGGAGTTGGGGGGTGATTCTTTTTGTTAGTTTTAATTTTTAATTTTGTTTTAAATATGGTTTTACATTCTGGGTCTCCATGGGCAAATAGGCGGCAATATAAATTCAATAAATAAATATATGAATTGAAAAGAAGGCATATCATCAAGAAAGGATATGAATAAGCAGCCTGGAATTGTAGAGACAGTATTAGAAAAATAGTGTGCCCTGCAGAACATCCTCCAAGGAAATAAGATTGGCCCCAAATATGTCGGTATTTCCCAAGGCTCATACTCTATGAAAATATTATAAAAAAGCAAAGGTAAAATATCCTGCATAGGACCAAAATTGACAAGAGTAGCAAGTGGATGTTTAACTATACTGCTACCTAGTGTTTAAATAAAGACATTACTTTGCTCTATGGTACTTGCTTGATTCCCAAGTTAATATTAATGATGCATTCAAAAAGTCAAGTAGGTAGGTCCTGGTAAAACAGAAGATAGGAACAGAGTTTATTCATGTATGTAATAATACAATTGGGTATAAACATGTGGAGTAATAAGTCTGGATCCCGATATTGGGTATCCATGGTCTAACCTTATAGTTTGGTTTACTTAAAAATGACTTTCCATTCTTTAACTAGAAAAAATATGTAAGGACTGTAGTTCTAAGGAACTTGTTTCAAAAATGTTATCCATTAAATAATCTTATGTATGCCTATTGTTAATTCCGGTGGAGCTCAGTTTCAATGATGTATCATTGGCTGGTGCTAGTAGCATTACCTTGAACTGACTGGAGAGCTGATAACTGCTTTGACAGAATGTAGTAATTCAAGTAAACATGATTGACAGTAAGCACCATTCTAGCAAATGAAGGATATCAGATTTTTTGCTATAGATAATACGAGATACATTATACTGTATTGGCTTCCTAATTGCTGAAAGGTTAGGTAAGAAAACATTCAGTTTGACTTTAAAATGTAAACTTTTTATTTTAAGGTCAAAAAAATATATTCAAGATTGTGATTCTTAAAGTTGCTCTTACATTATCACAAACAAGCTTCAGTAAAAATTTTCCAGAAGTGAAGATTTCATTAGCATTTTATTTATGGGTTCCATCACAAGCATAATTGAGAACAAGACTAAAGACATTTTAAATATTTCTACAAGTGCAATATTGACAACTTTGCTATTTCACATTTTCAGTGTATTCATTTAATAATTCAAATTAGAATTATTATAGAAAAAAATCCATTCACAAAAAGTGAGCAGTTCCAACAATTAATTTAATTTTGTTTCATAGAAAAAATTCCAACTATAATTATAATCATATCAACTTAATTTAATATCCTATATACTTCCATGAATCATTTCTGAAGCTGCCAATCCCAATACAATCCCAATCCCAATACAAAGCAGGAAACTTAAGCAGGGATCAAAATAAAACAAGCCATTTTTCAGATTCAGGTTTATAAAATAGAACTTTAAAAATTATATTTTCAGCGCATTATAATGGTATAATTCCTATGTAAGATAACAAGTATGGCTTTAAACCCAGCTTGCCAAAGAATATCCAGAAAAGTATTCTTTCCTCTGAACTCTAAACTTATGGGGTAGTGGTGGAGGGAAATCTTTTACAGTGTCAATAGGAGGGAAAATGTTGGCTTGCCAAATATGGCCTTAAAATATATAAAGCCTGTATAGAAGTACAGTTACAGAATTGATATTTGGAAGCTTATGTTCATTTATACTGACATATACCAATGCATCGTGATACAAAAGAAAGAAAAGTAGTCTTAGATTCAGCTTATGAAAAAGTTGAAATACTGATTATCAAGACTAGTTTTCAGTTAAAATGTTCAACAATTGCTGTAAGTATTCTACATTTCAAACCAAGGCAAAAATCATTTTTACAATTATGAAAAATCCATTTAACATTATTTGAATTTTCAATTCTTATTTCCTTACATATACATTCTATAAAAATGTAGGAAATGAGAGACCCAGAAACTGTTTCACCATGCACTTATTCTTTAGCTGCCAGTGTGCTTGGATTAAATATTGCTACTTTCAATATGTTTACACATTGTACTAGAATAGACTTGATGCATCTTCAAATAGTAGCAGCCTAGATTCATGGTATTTTCAACTCCACCTCATTCCAGTAATGTGCAAAGCAAATCCTGAGCCCTAACCTAGAGAAGTCTTAACTATGAAAGGTAGGATAGTGTGCATTGAATATACATTTCAAGGAACATGGAGCGGCTTTCTGTGAGCTGTTTGACATTTAACCATATATTTCCTTAGTTTGAAAGAAAAGTTGATCAATTTGGGAGCCACCAATGTTCGATTTTGTTTTAATTCTTACTCAAAGCATGAATATTATAAAGTATTGTTCTGTCATACATTAGTGTTAAACTTTGGACCTATAAAAGTTATTTTATTCTTTAAATATCTAAAATATTAGATCCAGAAATCATGATTGCCACTGCTTATAATGTATCCCACTGAGAAGCAAATTTTGGTCTAGACTTAAGTAAAATGAAAGATTGCAAAACGTTTGTGGTTTTCAACTACAGCCCATAAATATTATAATTTATTAAAATAAGTGTTATCTGAATTTTTAAAGCTCACATTTAATCTTCACATCCATACACTTGGCAATTCGATGTATAATACAGTATTTCAAATATATAGCTTTCTTGCTATACATACACAGTATATTTTAAATACTGAAGTCTGTCAATTTTACTTAGTAGCTTAGAATCTCTAATATGATAACCAATGCATATGAAATGGAGGAATAAATAACTGCCTTTCCTTATTACAAAATACATTATTGAATCTTCAATTCTCAGTGAGGTTTTCTAAACAGTTGATAAGAAAGATGATTTTGGAAAATATTGCTATAAGCAATTTCTAAAAAGAAATCACCACAACTTTATGTAAGTGTATACAATAAAGTTCTTGAAGTGTATCATTTGGATTTAAAAAAAACATTAACTTTTTTTATTTCATGTTTCATTTCAAAGTGGACAAAACAAGTGGTGGCAGTTACAGAAGTTAACCAGGAGTTCTTGCCACTTTACTCTTAAATCAAATAAGTAGTAGCAACTATATTTTTCTCATTCCTGATTAAATCTTTTTCCTAAATAGTTACTTTGACAGTGAACTGTGGCAAAATAATGTCATTAAAATTGATAAAAAAGCACCACATTCTTTTGAGATGTTAATGTCTCCTGAAATCCATTAAAATGTCTCATTTGAATTTACCTGAAAGGGAAAAAAAAAGATCAGTAATCAAATAATTCTTGTTAAGAGAATAAATATAACACAATGCTTACAATATCTTCTGGGAAAATCATTAGCTGAAATTAAATCACCTATCAAATTCTAACAGTGCCAACCTGAGACATGGATTATGTTATCTAACCTATAGAAACATGAAATTGCAATGCAATGGCAATTGCTTTGTTGAGTAACAACAGCACTAGAGAATTTTAAAGTGCTCCTCTAATGGCTTTTTCCCCCATTCCCCATTTCAGTGTAACAAATTCTCTGTTTACTGGAATAGGAAAAGAAGAAGAAAAACTTTATAAATATATTAAGATAAGTGCTGAAAATGATTTTTTATTACTAAACGGAACAGCTTGCACTTTAACTCTATCATCATCCATTCAAAAATGGTTTACAAAGCATTCCATGTGACTTAAAAGCAAAAAATAAAAAAATAAACTAGTTTTCTATCCAGAGTATATCTATCCAGAAAATATATGTCTAAATATATATGTCCAGAGAACATATGTTCACTAAAGAACATTACACCTGTTCTAAATATACAGTGCTTAAATGCTTGTGAATTCTTTAGAATTTTCAATATTTCTGCAGAAATGATTTAAAATATGAACTTTCTTCACAAAATCCTAAAATCTGATAAAAAGAACCAAATGAAAACAAATGAATCAAATACACAGTACTTGATCATCAATTTATTGGGGAAAATTATTCAGAATTTATGTCATATTTATACAGAGATATTGAAATGCAAAAGGTTTCACAAACTTTTGAGGACCACTGTTATATGAACTGCAAGGGAGCATATATAGCAGCAATACTCAAGAAAGCTGCATACAAAACTGTTTTCAAAATTTAAGCAAGATACATCAAGTCAGAAATCGCTTTTTACAATGTTTTTTTAAAGAATTAATAAATATTAATTTCAACATCAAATGTTATTTATGCAATTCAATCCAAAATAATATGGAATTACAGTATATATGCTTGCCTTGTGTAAGGAAACTGTCCTTTGATAAGAATAAAATACTCTGATTTCCCCACTTTATAGGAGAAAGACTTCTATATTCAGCAGACCACCTCTTAGCTCATAAAACATTTCTTTTTCTACGTTCAAATGTTCTAATTCAAAATGTAACTCAGTTGCAGTCTTACATTACTACACCAAGGTATGGTCTCAGCAGAACTTTTCTGAAACCAAGAAGTCTAGTTCTGAATAAGAGTTTCCAGAAAACTCCCATCTTGAATATTATGTCATCTGGAATATTATGATGAAAAAGTGTAAATTAATAATGAAATTATATGCATATGGACTCCTGCTGTAAGTTACTGTAGAATCATACAGGGGCTTCTAGAGAAGCAGCTTGTAAAAGATTCTTAGTGTGAGATTTTGGGAATGCAACATTAGAGGAGGGAGAGCATGACACAGCAAGCTCAAACTTAGGAAGCATCTTACTGGTAGATTTTTATATAGAGATCTGCTTTGGAGCATATATGTATTTCACACATTCCTTCCTTTTGTATACAGGTAGTCCTCCACTTTCAACAATTCATTTAGTGACCATTCAAAGTTGCAACAACGCTGAAAAATGTGACATGATCATTTTTCAGTTACAACCTTTGCAGCATTTCCATGATCATGTGATCAAAATTCAGATGCTTGGCCACTGGTTCATACTTATGACCATTGCTGAGTCCCAAGGTCATGTGATCTCCTTTTGCGACCTTCTGACCACAAAGTATATGGGGAAGCCAGATTCACTTAACTACTGTGTTATAACTTATCAACTGCAGTGATTCACTTAACTGTGGCATGAAAGGTCATAAAATGGGACACAACTTATTTAAGTACCACGCCTTACATGATAAGTATCTAGTATTTTTGGAGTTTAAACAAGTTTTAAAAATTCATACTTAAATCTGAATTGTACTAAGTAATAAATACAGCATTTTATAATCCAAATAAATTCTAGTATAAGCAAACATCTCATTATTTAAGTATTTTATGCAATTCTTTCTCCATCTTTGATTTGTCTTTCATATATGTATATCTTATATGAATGATTTCTGCCTAAAAAAGAAGAATCTGTAGTGAATGACTGATCACATGAGAGAATCAATGTACCATAATTAATCAGGCAAGTAAATTGTAACTAATTAAAAGAATTACCTATTGTTTAAGTTTATTAAAGAATGATTTTTTTTTCTTTTATATGTAACAACCATTTGTACAGAGCTGGGGGGGAAAGTTCATCACTTCTGGTAAATATCACCTGAATAAATGCTTCTTGAATTTTTTCTGCCAATATATCTGTATTATCTGTCCATGTACAAGATTAATTTTTATTTTCTTTATGTGTTTTAAGCTACGAAGAGATCATTTTGCTAAGCTTAGTTTTCAATTGTCACCATCAATTTAGCTATTCACATTTCTCAACAGTTGAATAGGAAAAGGAACTCTGATGAAATATTAACTATTGTTTTTTAAAATAGAAAAATTATGAAACTTACTATTTTTAAATCAAAATAAGCAATGTTTTAGCGAGGCTAATTTTGCCTTAACTTATGAGTTTTGTGGCATATAAAGGAAATTAATCTGAAAGGGATAACAATCAACTTCAGATGTAAGATCAAACAATTTATTTTTCTAATCTAGAATTTTTTTAAAAAAATTACTTATAAAATCACAAATTTTGATTTTTTAAATTACAGATATGTGGTTTTTTCAGTAGTTATAAAACCTCAAAAAAGAAATGCATACCTCAAGATTTATTCAGGTACCCTTCCCCATTAATTTTTAAAACTGATTTGAAATAGTAGAAACAAATTAATGGCAGATTTTTAAATATTTTCTGCATTTCCTATATGAACTTTTAAATTAAAGTGGTTGAGCCAATATCATTAAATATTTCTTCATATACAACAATACTAAACACTTTTTTCAAACTGAAAGCATTTAAAGCATCTAGCAGTGATTATCTTGTAAAAACAAGACATTTCAAAATATAAACTAACCTGAGATATACTTTGCTCCGATTAACATTAACAGGCTACTCATTATAAAAAAGCCCAAAGGCAGACTACAGAAGATACTAGTTTCACCTGATGTCATCCAGAAGAGAGGTTCCAGTCAAACAAATCAAGAGAGAGATACGTGTAAATTGCACTATTTAAGAATTACATGAAGAAAATTAGAAGAGAAAGAAATTCTGTAAAATGCTACAGATAGTTCAGTAATAATTAGAAATAGGACAAACACTGATGCTTAGATATATTTCAGTCTTGCGTCTGGTGTCAATATTTAATATTATTTAGACAGAAACATTTCATTACTAATAAAGTAGATTGTACAGACTTTCAAATAAAGCTGATATTAAACATTACATATATTGCAAGGAGAAAGAATGCACAATAAAAGGTGGAAGAATGAATTCATGTGTGTCTGATTATATACATACAAACGATCTCAAACTATCTTTGTTTTTCAAAAATATTGACTGTGTATGAAGTATCATGTAATGGGGGCACTGCATACCTCTTAAGTCCAATCATGCATTGTGACTGCTCCATCATACACATTATACTATCAGCAAGTGAAATATACATGCACCAACTGTCTCCAGACTTGAATTGAAAGCATAAAATTGCTATTGTTAATTATAAATGAGCAAGTACAGTACTAAAACCATTTATGACAGTCATATCTAGAAAGCTGTATAGATTGCAAACCTGCAATATTATATCATTTACCAAGGTTCACTGAATTTATTACCATTCATTTCAGAACAACTGTGCATAATTTTCTGCAGCAAGCAGCACAATACTTTCAAGTACCAACAAGCATTTAAACTGCCCTCAGGAAAAAGTAGTGCATCTAATTTAAAGGTCTCAAGTTTTTACATATTAGTGCTCTTCACACTAATTTTGCAGAAATTGTAAATAAGGCTTCTCTCCTTTCCATCTTTCTCACCCAGCTTACAGTCATGCTTGCTGAGTTTAAAAACTTATTTTTTAATAAACCAACATTTTAAAGCTAAACATACATTTTGTTTGAAATTAAAAAATATAATTGCATTTCTTGTGCTCTTCATACAGAATATGTGATATTATTCACAAATTTATTCCTCCCTGGGTTGCATTTCCAGTGTTTGACTAAGCGCAAGGTTGTTAGAGCTCTGATAAACCATTACTAAGATAAGTATTAATTGTGTTGTATTTTACTGATTTTAATGTAATGTCTATGGAAAATTGCCAAGACAATTATTATTGGGTGCTATTAATATTACATTAATATCACCATTTAAAAATGTTTTACTTGACATTATATCACTGCATACAAAGGAGAAATTCCAGTAGTTTCTGCAAACCAGTGAAGCTGTAATTTTGGCTCAGTCAACAAATCAACTAGATAATAATCAGCACTTAGAAACTAAACATTGTATATCATTGTCCTTTTAGTAAGGACAATGCCCATATCTTTCCAACAACACAGAAACTACTGCTTTGAATAAGGAAAAAGATTGTTATGGACTTTTTGTTCTATCGTTGGATTTTCTAACTTACATTGCTCAACCCTACCGTTAAAAAACAAAAAATCCCCCCCCCCCCAATTTCTTTCTGCAGTTATTAGGACTTCTTTTTAAAAAGCCATGTGTCTAATAAGATCTTGATTTGTTCTTCTATCCAAAACCAGGATCTATTGCCACATCCGAGAATCTTTGGTCTAACTGATGCATCCTCATCCTCCTGGCTGGAGGAGTTAATATTTTAGTTATTTTCATTTTTTTAAAAATTACAGTGAATTTACACTTCAAAATTTCTGACTATACTTAATTATACTGAAAAAATAATCTTAAATCAAATTTACAGAGCTACAGTTTAAGCATGCTTAAAAGGACAATAGTCTAACTGAATTTATTAGAATATATTTCTAAATAGAAATACTTAGGTTATCACTGAAAGTCATAAAATAGCACTAATTAATTAAACCAAATATATTTGATGTGAGTTCAGATATATTTTTAATTGCACTTTAATTAAAATGTACTAAAATGTATTAAAATATACTAAAAATGTACCTATCATGGCAAAATTTTGTTACCTCATTTTTCTATTTTTAGTAGGACAGTTGTCAACAATGAGGGATTGAATATTTATTTAGCTAGTTTATGTAGTACATAAAACAATTTACATTCATAATTAATCTTGATGGAAAATAGCTTCCATGGATTAATGTAAAAATAAATAAATATAGAATCTGTATTTCAATAGTTTGAAACAAAACTGAAATAGACAACTTTTGTCTGGAGGCATTTTCAAAACATCAAAAATTGCTTAAGAATGCAATTTTTAAGCATTCTTAAGCAAGACTGACATGCAATTGTTTTAAGTGCTTGATGTAATTTATAAAGCATTTTCAACTGTTTCTGTTTACTGGTTAGATCTGCATTTTTTTTTCAGGCCTATCACTGTGACTGGCTTTGAGAAGAAGACTAAGGCCAGGATAAATCAAATTCTTGTGACTACATGAATTTATATATTTAGTATGATTAATTCCTATATTTACAGTGTACGAATGGTTTTTAACTTTAAAATTAAATCTTAAAACCTGGTGGCAGGATTTGAGTATATTACCAGCTGTACTCAAGACTTTAAAATTTTTCATAGAACATAGTGACAAGTTGTAAATGTCAGTAGAAATGTATTCTTCAAATAATTTGAGAGTATATTTCTATCTTGCTACTATCTGCTTGTGCATCTCAACATAAATTATTCAAAAGTAAGTGTACACATTGTTCCATATTTTCATTTTTTAGGACACTTATTAAAACATGGTTGGCTTATAATTGCTACCACTATCAATACAAAAATCATTTTTTATTTGCTACAATCAGTTGTGTATGGAAAAGCAATATCTCTTTTACAAGTAATGCATGAATGATGACTTACTGTTTCCTTGAGGTTCTGACATTTCCCACCCCATTGATTTCTTAACAGCTTTCTTCCATCTGGTATAACGATATTCACTTTCTGAAATCATAAGCAACATTTTTATCAAAAATTCAAACAATTATCTTTAACATACAAGCACTTTGTAACATATGGAAAAGACTTCTAAAATGCATAGGAAATTCATTAACTGTCTGAAAAGTCAAAATTTAAATAAAAATAAGGAAAGTTTCAACCTCCCTCGCCCAATATAACTTTCCTAAGATAGTTCACCACTCACAGAGGTAGCACAACTATCCTGACAGAACAAACTATGCTAATCTTATAACAGTATTGTGATGACCTGGGGCGTGGCACAAAGGCAACACAGTCAAGTAAGCCAGAAGAGTCCCTTTAATACCTCCAACTTTGCCCCCAATGTTCAGGCTACCTTCGGCTGGGGAAAAAACTCTCCCAAGAACAGTCTTTAAGTGGAGGAAATTCAGTCCGAAAACAAAATACATACAAACTGTAAATAAAAATCCACACAAACCATGCTGCAGCAATTAACTTGATGGGCAGGATAATTGCAGACTTGAAAGGCCAACAAAACACACACAGTTGGGAAGATGCCAGGAACCCAGATAAGCCTTGACAATAACAGATAATTCACAATTTGCTTCCAATAAGTTTGCTGTGCATAGTTTCCCTTTTTAAACACTGTTCCTAGCTGCAGCTAATGAAGGAAATCTGGGCCTTTTCCTCCCCTGTAAGCCACACAACTCATGTTGCTCCCTTCTCCATTCCTCCCTGTGTGTCCTAGGATGAAAAGGAGGTGGTCTTGAGTCTTTCTCTGAATTCCCTCTGCCTTGCTCTACCTCTCCCCTGCTCTGCCCAAACGGACTTTGCTCTTCCCCAGTTTCTTCCACAGCCAATGGAGCCATACTCCCACTCCCTGTCAGCTGCTTGGCCTCCCCCTTGGAATCAAATTCTGACAGGGGCATGACCAGTATGAATAAACTAGATTTGCATGATAGCAGAGATCAGATCTTAAAACCCTTCTTACCCTCTGGATTGATCTGTGGCTCAAAACGTTCACATGTTACTGCTGTGAAATCATCAGGATGTAGGCTCCAGACTCCCACCCCTTCTGCAGCTCCAGCTGCCATTGCTGCTCCAAGTGCTGTTGTTTCAGGCATAGATGGCTTTACTGATAAGACAGAAATTAAGCATTTGTACCTAGTCCTCGACAGAACAAAATGTATTTTGACAAAATGCGAACATTTTAAGTATTAAAACAAGTACTGATTGTGTTTCACTTTCATAACCTACTTTATTTTACTTTTCATTCAATTGCCTAATATTGGTAGCTAATGAATTAAAGACAAATATGCTTTTATGAAGAAGGATTATTTAATGAAAAAGAGTTTGCTAATTAATCTGTTGGAATATAGGTGTCAGCCTCCAAGAATTCTTCTTCTGCTTATCTTTCCAGCTACCATAGAAGCAGGGGGAAGGAAGAATAATTGGACTTTGTGGGGAGAAGGGTGGTGGAGGTTTGAGTTGGTGAAATGTAAAAGTTGGGATGTTTTCTTGACTATGCTTACCTGCTTATTGCACGGATGTATCCTCTTATCTGTCTACACCAAGGTCAACCATCTTGGCATACCAGATGTGTGAAATGCCAACTGAAGATGCCTCACATTATATTATACACAAATCAGATTGGATGGCCAGTTTGAACTATTGTGGGTGCGAACATGGGATAACTTTGTATATGTGATTTTTGCAACTATTGTCTCAGATCTTGTATTCTTATGATGCTACCATTTCAATTTTCAGTAAAAGTCCTTTTCTCTATAACAATGGAGTCAAGGTTTTCTTTCTTGGATTTTGAATGGAGCCTCACCTGACAATAGGGAACGAATAACCAATGCAAACAAACTTTATCTTAATTGCTACCCTATATATTCAAAATGAGCTGTAGATTATTCCTTTGAACAAGTAATTAAAAAAGACAGTATTCTTTAACAAAACAAAAAACAAAATAAAATTTACATAGTCAGAGGCAATATTTTTCAAATTTCAACTGCCAAATGTGGTTAATCCACCATGTATTTTATCCTTTAAATACTGCTTTTGTATTGTGAATTCATATACAGCAGGCACCAAACCAAAACTATTACAGTGAAATTGTACCTGACATTTGACAGGTACTCTTCCAGGTATATATAGAAATCATTAAAAGTTTAATTTGGTTAATATTAAATGCATATGTTGTCTTTCTTCAGAAGCTTATAGTGATGCAAAAGGTTTGGCTACCATTTTATTTTCTAACAGGAGTTAGTAAGCATACTCACTGCCCATTTAATTTTGCAATTCAGTAGATACTGAAACTTGGGTTTCTTAAATCATATTTCAGCACCTTCATTAATACCATTTCCCCCAAAATCAGAGCTAGCCTGATTTTAAGTGTGCACCTAATATAAGCCCTATCCCAAAATAGTGAAGCCCTATCCCAAAATAGCCCTAGTGAAGATCATCATCAGTCCAGGGGGTGTGGATATGGACAGTACTGGAGGCAATAAATGCATGAGAGCCAACAATGTCCAGCAGCAGCCACGGTCTGTACAGCACAAGTGAGTTAATTACCTATCCAAGAAGCAGGCAGAGGTGGGGGGGAGGCAGGTGAACTGGATGTGCTGTGTGGGCAACAGGAAAGTCGGGAGTTGGTGAGCCTGGAGTAGCAGCCAGCTGCTTGGAGGCTCATCTTCGTGTGGCAGAACCGATAGAAGGAGATAGATAGGAGGTAGAAGTGTGTGTGGGGAAAAAGACAGGTGATCCTGACGCTCTTCGCAGGCCACAGGCAAGCTGAGAGATGTGAAGAGAAGCCTCCCACAGCCGGCCAGCCCACTATCTCTCAGCTTGTCTGTGGACAGCGTGACACATCCGGATTGTGTGCCTCCCTCCCCGTGCCTCTGCCTCCGTTTGCTGCCAGTGTTGCCACATGAAGATGAGCCTCCCAAGGTTGGTCAACCACTCTGGCCCACTGGCTCAGCTCTCCCACGGCACATCCAAATTGCATGCCTCTGTTGTCTGCTGCTTGGACAGGTAATCAACTCACCTGTGCTGCACAGGCTGTGCACCGCGAATGCACTGACCAAGGACCTGGCGGGTGGCAGCTTCTGCCAGATGTCAGCCCTGATGTGCTTGCCACCTTTTGTGCACATGCTAGGGGAAGTGGGATGCCCAGCTGGGCTGATCACTCTGAAATTGTGTTTCCCCCAAAGTAAGCCATAGTGCTTATTTTGGAGCCCCCAAAATGTAAGACTCGGTCTTATTTTCAGGAAAACATAGTATATGACATGCCTATATCCTTCCTTCCCTCCTATGACAGTATTGCTCAAATGCTCTTTCTTTAATTTTTAGAAGGTTTTCTAGAATACAGTCAGCAGTCAACTTCCTTACCCTTTAATACCATTGCAGCATTTTTTTAAATTTTTTTTATTGATTTTTAAAACAAACATAGACAAACAAAACATCAAGCCATCTTCCATATATATACATACAGTATGCCGGTTGGTTTACAAATTGTTTTGTGCTTCCACTTTGTAGTCTTCAATTACAACTACATTGTATATAAACTCGTATTTTCAATCAAATATTAAATACATTAATATCATTATTAATCAATCATTTGACTATACTTTTATTCATTCATGTTTTACAAAATAATATTTTACTTAATTTCTTCCATGACAGTTCATATTATCATCCCAAATCTATCCTACAATCATTTTGTAGATATAATAAGAAAAGAATACATCTTTATATATTTAGTATTTTCTAAAAGTCTACATATTTCATTACTATATTTTATTGTCTAACCATTGATAGAATAGATCCCAAATTTTATAAAATTGTTTATCATCTTGTTCTCTAATTTCAAATGTCAATCTACTCATTTCAGCACATTTCAATATTTTCTTAATGATTTCCTCCTGTGATGGTGTTTTCTCATTTTTCCAGTTTTTAGCAAATACAATCCTAGCCACTGTTAATACATTTACAATCAGGTATTTCAAGTCTTTACTATATATTTCAGGTAAAATTCCCAATAAAAATATCTCTGGTTTCAAATCTATTTGCTTTTTTGACATTATTTCCAACCACGTGTAGATTTTAGTATTTTTTAGCATCCACACATGTCCACCACATATGGTAATATGAACCAGGTGTCTGATGACATTTCCAACATTTTTTGGATTCATTCTTGAACATTCTTGCTATACTTGTTGGGTAGGAAATGCCACCTGTAAAACATCTTATACAAATTTTCTTTATATGCTGTTGACATTGTCATTTTATAATTTTGAAACCACAATTTTTGCCATTTCTCTAGATCAATCCCATATCCAAAATTCTTCCCCCAAGCAATCATAGTTTCTTTAATTTGTTCTTCTTCTAGTTTAATTTCTAATAAATATCCATACAATTTTTTAATCACCTTTTCATCAGTACCTGTCAAAATCTTATCTAAATCAGCCAGTTTATCATAGAAACCTTCTGTTTTAGAGTCTTTATCATACCTTGAATGTATTTGCGCATATGAAAACCAAATCATCTTTATACCTTGTTCCTCTAGTTTTTGTGCAGATTTAAGTTCACCTGTTCCGTTCAATATTTCACCATATCTAACTGTTTGTTCCTTTTTGTATATTATAGGATAAGAAAATGCTTCAATAGTCGATAGCCAGACTGGAATTTTCAAATAACATTGTCTTTTAATCTTCTCCCAGTTTAACCACAGAGACTTCCGTATATAATGTCTTCTAAAGTACCCCTGTGTTTGAGTTCCTTTATACCATAAAAAAGCATGCCACCCCAACAACAGATCATGTCCTTCTAATGTCAACAACCTAGTATTTCTTAATGTTATCCATTCCTTAACCCACATCAAATTTGTAGCTTGGTAATACAACTCCCAATTAGGCAAACCAAATCCTCCTCTTATTCTGGCATCTTGCAAAAGTTTTAGCTTTATTCTCGCTTTCCTACCTTGCCATATATATTTCAACACAATTTTATTTAAATCTTCAAAGTAGTCTTTTCCAAGCCTAATTGGAATTGTTTGAAACAAATATAAAATTCTGGATAATATATTCATCTTGATTGTTGATATTCTCCCTATTAATGACAGTTGTAAATTTTCCCATTTCGCCAAATCTAGCGCTATCTGCTGTTTAAGTTTGATATAATTGTTCTCTTTTAGTGTACTGCATCTTGCTATCAAGTATATCCCCAAGTACTTGATCTTATTCGTGACCTGAATTTTCAATAGGTCTGCCAGTTCTTCCTTTTGTCTTGATAGCATATTCTTTGTCAAGATCTTTGTCTTATCTTTATTTATTTTCAAACCAGCCACCTTTCCATATGTCTCTATCTTTTCTATCAATTTTGATGCTGTTTTTACTGGGTCTTCTAAGATAAAAACCAGATCATCTGCGAATGCTTGCAACTTAAATTCTTCCTTTTTAATTTTCATCCCTTTTATATTCTTTTCATCTCTAATAATTCTATTTAAGACTTCCAAAGTTAACACAAACAACAGAGATGATAGTGGGCACCCTTGTCTTGTTCCGTTTCTTATATCGATAGAGTCTGTCAGTTCTCCCTCAATCATTACCTTTGCCGTTTGCTTATGATATATAGCTTCTATTGTTTGAATAAATTTTCTAGCAAAGCCCATCTGTTCCAGCAGTAATAACATGAATCGCCAATTCACATTGTCAAATGCCTTCTGTGCATCTAGAAATATCAGAGCCATTTGTTTTTCAGGATGTGCCTCGTAGTATTTCAAAGTGTCCAAGATTACTTTCATATTGTCTTTAATTTGTCTCTTTGGCAGAAATCCATTTTGATCAGGATGGATAAAATTATTTAAGTATTTTTTAAGTCTTTTTGCCAATATTGAAGCAAACATTTTATAATCTGCATTTAGTAGGGAAATAGGTCTATAGTTCTTGATTTGTAATGAATCGGTCTCCTCTTTTGGAACAAGCTTAATATAAGCTTCTGACCATGATTTAGGTATCCTCTTCTTTAACATAACTTCATTCATAACTTCTAGCAATGGAAGATTCAATGATTCCTGTAATGTTTTATAAAATTCTGCCAGAAGTCCATCTGGGCCTGGTGCCTTTCCATTATTTTTCTTCTTGAGTGCTTCAGTTAACTCCATCATCATTATATTACTTTCTAACATTGTATCAATCTCTTTAGGTATCTGGGGTAACTTAGCATTCTGTAGGTACTGTTTAATTCTTTCTTCATCAATATTCTCTTGTGTGTATAGTTTCCCATAATAATCTCGAATGATTTCCTTCTTCTCTTTACTACCATAACAAACTTGGCCTTGATCATCTATTAATTGCAATATTTTCTTTGATTCTTTCTCCTTTCTCAATTTATATGCTAACCATCTACCTGGTTTATTTGCATCTTCAAAGTAGTTCTGTTTAGCACCTCTAATTTTCTGTGCTAATTCTTCTTTTTCTATTAGACCCATTTTATGTTTGATTATATCCATTTTTAACTTAATGTCCTTTTTCTGTGGCATTTTCTGTAGCTGTTTTTCAAGTCCTTTATACTCATCCTCTAATGCCTTAGAGGCTAATCTTTTCATGGTATTTCTTTTCCTTGTATAGTCTATTATCAAGCCTCTGGCATATGCCTTCATTGTATCCCATACATTCTGGATTGATGTATCTTCTTTTTTGTTTTCTCTAAAGAAAAAAGCCAGTTCTTTCTCCATCCACTGTGTGAAGTCTTTTTCCTTTAAAATAGTATTATTTAACGTCCCTCTAGATCTTCTTCTTTGTCCTTTCCATTTAATTGTCATTGGATTGTGATCTGCCCAAGAACTTGTTTCAATATTTATTTCTTGAATATTAGTTAACAGTTCTGTTGACATCCATATCATATCTATTCTGGACTATTCTATCTATTCTGATAAGTGTCTATTTGAGTAGAAGGTGTATTGTTTAGTTTTAGCATTTCTTTCTCTCCATGTATCTTTTAAGTTTATTTGATCTACCATTTTAAAAAAAGATTTAGGGAGAGTCTTTCTATTTTGCTTTATTGTTTTCTGTGCTGTGTAGTCCAGTTTATTGCCTACAATTCCATTAAAATCTCCCATCATAACTATATTAACATAGTCCAGTTCAACTCTTTTCATATGTAATTTTTTATAGAATTCTTCTTGTTTGTCGTTCGGGGCATAGATTGCAATCAGGAGTGTTTTCATATTATTGTCCATTATTTCCACCATTAATATTCTTCCGTCGTCATCAGAATAAATCAATTTCGCTGAGATGGTCTCTTTAATATATAAAACCACTCCTCTTTTCTTACATTGTGTCAAGGAAGTGAATATTTTCCCTAATTTTGGCTGTATCAACAATTGTTCGTATTGTTTTTTAACATGTACTTCTTGTAGGCAGATTATGTCAAATGTTAATTTCTCTAATTTATGAAAGATTTCCCTTCTTTTAATGGCTGAGTTAAGTTCATTTATATTAATTGTAATCAATTTTTTCTCTTCCATGGTTATATTTTGTAATTAGGTTTAACAGCTCTCGTAGACCTTGGTTCACGTTGTTCTTTGGCTTCCTCCTTTCCACCTACTGCACCTTCTTCTTTTTCAGTCATCATTTGGGAGTCCTCTTGGAATTCAATTAGTGAAATTTCTTTTTCTGCCTCTTCCTCCCTTCGGAAAAATTCTGTGTAAAATGATTCAGCTTTCTCAATTGAGTCAATTCTATATCTCTGTTCTTGCCATGTAAACATTAAACCTTCTGGAATCAGCCATCAACAATTCACCTCTTTTTTAAGTAATAATTTGGTCAAGAATCGGTATTCCCTTCTCATCTCTCTCACTCTTCTGGGTACTTGTTTCAAGACCACAATCTCCTTATCTTTGTATTTCAATGTTTTCTCTCTTGCCACTTGCAATATTTGCGTTTTAATACCTTTCTTTGTAAATCTGATGTGAACTTCTCTTGGTAAGCTATTTCTCATCACATATCTTGTGAAGACTCAATAAACTTCATCTATTCCATCCATCATCTTCTCTTCAGTTATTTCCAAAGCTTCAGCCAATATTTCTATCGTTATCTCAGCTAGATTTTGTCCTTTTTCTTCCACTATGTTTTAAAATCTAAGATAAAATTCTGATCTGTCCATCTCTCATCTCAGCATACCACTTTTATCTTGTTCAACCACAGTTAATCTGTTATCAATGTCTCCAATCTTCTTGTTTCTTTGTTTATCTCCTTCAATTTTTTGGAGAGAATAATATATAAAAAGAAGAAAAAAACCAGTCCAGTTTCAAAATATAAGTTCATGTGTAGGAAATCTAGCAATGAGAAAAAAAAATATTACTTTGACATTCCTGTTTAAAATCGCTGCTTAATCACTTCTGTCAAAACTTTTACAGATTCTTTCTTTCCCTTAGGGTGTCATTTCAAGTCTTAAAATAAAAAAAAAGTTCTCACCAAATCGGCACACTCTCTCTTTCCGTTCTCTTTTGTTTCGGAGCTGTCCCAACTTCAGCAGCTTTAATGGCTGCCTCTTTGCCGCTGGCAAAAAGAGCTTCTCCTGGATCTACCAGGGATTTTGCAATAACCCTGGGATCGACAGGATGCGCTCTTTACATTCACTGTCTCTTCGGGACGGTTTAGATCCACTTGGATCGTCCAGAAGCAAAGATATCAGCAGCGATCTCAGATCTCCAAGATTGCATGCCGTATCACTGCGACACCAGCTCCGCCCCCCCCCCAACTGCAGCATTTTTTAAGGAAGGTACAAGCAGAGAATTGTTTTTCCATGGCTACACTGTCAGTGACAGAAAGAGCAATATAAATCTTCCTTAAATAAACAAGACAAGATGATGTTTTCAATATTTTTTTACCCAAATAGAAGAAATTATGAAATAATTATATGTATATAATGTATATAATATATGCATTTAATTATGTAGTTACTGAATAATTATTTAACTGAATAACAATTACTCAAAATAAAGCAAGAAAACTAAATTGGCAAAAAGAAAACAAAAATTGTGAACTGCAGTTTCCTTAGATCCTTTACAAAGAAGGATATAAAAAAGCTTACACTGGCAAGGTTGAAAATCTTGGTATACATGTAATTCCAGAAATATTATTTTAATGTAAATAAATTGAAATATTTTTTTCAAAAGTCATAGTGGGCCTTATACATAGAAATCCAAAATTAAAATACAAAACTTTTATCTTACCTACTGGAATACAAAGAATATCAGCTTGGAGTTGCATAAGGATCTTGTTGTTGGTCATTCCTCCATCAACTTGTAACTGACGAAGTGGTATCCCACAATCTTTATTCATTGCATCCAATATCTAAAACAAACAATTTCTATTAACTTTTCCAATAAAAACTGGAATATTTTATAAATTACATAACAAATAATTAAGAGAAAAAAAAACATAACATAGGAGAAAAATTTAGTTGAAAATTTTATTTTGCACTTTGAACTAATTTATTAGAAGGTGAAATCTGCTACAATTTAAACACATTAAAATATGTCTGCCTATAGAAATAAAAACTACAGTAATATAAAAAACTAATTAAAAAAAACTAATACAGTACTCATAATCTATACCTCCCGTGTTTGAAAGCAGACGGCTTCTAGTGCAGCAAAGGCAATATGGTTTTTATTTGTAAACTGAGTAAGACCGCAGATAATTCTACAAAAGAGGACAAATGATACTACAGTTAGGAATAAAAGTAGTATAAAATACAATATACTGTTTAATTATGATAATGCAAGTACATGCCTGGAAGGATATATTGGCAATATCTATAGAATCCAACTGAGGATCAATAGTATGGCACTACATATACCTAAGGATCAGTGGTGGCATTTAGCCGGTTCACACTGATTTGGATGAACTGGTAGCGACAATTTGGCATGGGTTGCTGAACTGGTAGTGACTTCTGGATGACCACACCACCAACCCAGTCACCCAGTTCCTGCTCACTCTCTTGACTTGCCCGCCTGATGCTCGCTTGCCCAGCCCAATGCTTGCTCATCCTGCTTGTCCGCCCGACACTCAATCACTCACCTCCTAAGCGGCACTGGGTCCTTGTGGCTTGCCTTTCTAACCTGCCTTCCCATGTGGTGCCTGCACCCCAACTGAGCAACCCTGATTTGCCTGCTCACAGGTAAGCCTGCAAGTCAAGCTAGTCCCCCCACCATCCCCAGAGTTTGCTGGGTCCCCCCACCATTCTTGGAGCTAGCTGTCCACCTCCCACCATTCCTGGAGCTTGCCACCCTTCCCTTGTCATTGGATCTTACTTTCTGCCTCGTCCCTGGAGCTTGCCGTCCTCCTGTCCCTGGAGCTTGCCGAGGGTCCCCCCACCATTCCTGGCTTCGCCTGGCTGGCTTCGCTGCCAACATGGACCCATCCTGGGCAGCGGCGCTGGCTGCGGCCTAGCTAGCTGCCCCCCCCCCCCCAGCGTCCCTGGGCTTGCCTGGCTGGCTAAGCTGCTGGCATGGCTCCATCCCACGCAGTGCTCTCCCAACCACATGGCAGCCGTGGCTCAGCTGAGAGGGTGGGTGGATGTCTCAGGGCTGCACATGCGGTGCACAATTTGCAGCAGCCCTGGGACAAGGGTCCCGGAGAACTAGCACCGCGGCCGCTTTTCCCCCAGGAGAAGGAAGAAAGCACCACAGGTGCAGCCCTGGGACATCTGCCTGCCCTCCCGGAATGCCGTGGCCACTCACTTTCTTCCTTTCTCCCAGGGGACATGTTGCTTCCAGCCCAGCCCGGCCAGTGGGTGGCCCTTGGGGGGAATCTCCGCTGTGCTGGGGCTGAGAGGGGAGGACATGCAGATGTCCCGGGGCTGTGTATGTACAGCAGCCCCAGGACATCTGTCCGCCCCACTCTCCCAGAGCACCGCCACTCACTTTCTTCCTTTCATCCCCTGGGAGAAGGAAGAAAGTGAGTGGTGGCAACACTCCAGGAGGGCAGGTGGATATCCCAGGGCTGCAGCAGCCCCAGGACATGCCTCCCAGAGCACCCCTGCCACCTCAGTCACATGACCAAGCCACACCCAACCAGTCACAAGACCAAGCCATGCCCACCAATCAAGCCATGCCCATCCTATTGCTAAGGATGGATTAAACCAATCATACCAATGTAATGAGATGTTAAAATTGGACATACCCCACCCTCCCCAGTTTTGGGCATTTAATTCTTGTTCATATTTGCTTCATCTTTTCAGATAATTTGTACTGTCAATGAAAGTGATATTTGGGGAAAGAATGCAATAAATCATAGTCAGGATAATACCCTGAATTCAGACAAAACATTTACTCTTTAAAATTATTTTTGCCCTACTGTTGTATGATTTTGGTAGATCTGCATTTGAACAATATATTGTCATCTATATCAGGGGTCGCCAACCTTTTGGACCTCAGGGACCACCAGCTCATAATTTTAAATCCCAGGGACCACTAACCAGTTCTGTGGGCATGGCTTAATTTGTGGGTGTGGCTTGGTGGTCATGTGACTGGCTGGGCATGGCTTGTATGTAAATATTATAAATATTTATATAAATATTGAATTTTTTTATTCAAAAAAGAGCAACTTTTACTCAAAATCAGGCAAGGCAGATTGAATTGCTCACAGAATTAGATTCATTCAGAGATCTATCTATCTGCCATTGACTAGCTCAGCCTGTCACATAAAATTTGCTTGCAAGCAAACTCACAAAATTAACTCACAACACACGATGTATGTAAATATTGAATTTTTTATTAAAAAAGAGCAACTTTTACCTAAAATCAGGCAAAGCAGGCAGGCAGATTGAGTTGCTCACAGAATCATTCAGCTATCTATTTGTCATCGGCTAGCCCAGTCTCACAAATTTGCTTGCCATGAGAAATCCAACCATTTCCTGCTTCCTAGCTAATCTAAATCTCCCGGCACAGCAGAACAGATGATGGTCGGAAAAAGGAAAAATAACGATTTAGCAGGCAAGTTTGCCGGGTAAGGAGTGAGTGGGTGGCACGGGCCATGTGGGTGGCGCAGCCTTGTGTTTCTGCGCAGCCTGGATTAATTGCTTTGTGGAGGATGCTCTGGGGGTGAAATTTCTCTGCGGCCCACCAAAAGTTTCTCACGGCCCACCAGTGGATCGGGGCCCACTGGTTGACGATCGCTGATCTGTGTAGTTTGGAACAATGGTCAGCAGATGCATTCAAGAAAATAGCTGCCATAAGGAGTTTTGCCATTGCCCAAATAAATGTGGACAAGAAGGCATTCTCGGAAATAAATATATTTTTGAAGATGGTAGTTTATAACAGAAAGAACTACTAGGTCAGCTTCTTTTATATCTGGTTTAATATAAATATTTTTTAAAGGAAAACTGGGCATAGGGCTGGGGAATATCAAATGAAGTGAATATAGATATCAGCAATGGTACTTTCCTTTGGCATAAAGCAGACACTCAATCTTTCATAAGCCCTGTTTATTAGCAAAATACCAGAATACTATTTAACATTCAATCAGATAATATTTACCCTCTTGCACTGGGTTCCCAGTATGGTGCATATAATCCTGAAAATGCAGGAACAAAGTAGCAGCCGTAAGATGTGCCTACTTCAGCAGCAAGTTTCTCTAAGATCAATAGAAAATAGAAAACTTATCTCTGCAGAGAAATAGTCATTTGAAAAAGCTAAGAATTGCAAAACAAAATGTAAGTAATTTCTAGAATAAATAAGACTGTTGAGTGTATTAATCTATATAACAAATATAGAGCCAGGAAGCAGAAGTATAAATTTTATATGTGCTATCATCTTCAACAAGTTGGTACTTTCTGGTGTGCTGAACTACAATATACCTCCTACAGATCATTTATATCCATAAATAAAACCTTATGGTATGATTTGAATAAACATAATTCCTACTGAGCTTTATTTTTTTCCAGGAAAATGGTGTAGAATTGCAGTTTTAATTAATCATAATAACTGGAACTCTGTATGATTATTATTCCTACTCTTACTAGCAATATCACCATATAAAAATTTTACTATTAAATTTTCAGAAGAAATACAAGAGTCATCAAGCCTAAAAATTAGATATGCATGGTTAAAAATGGCATAGACCTTGAGTACACAAATAAATTCTTATCTAAGTGAACATGTTTGAATGAAACACAGAACCACTCTGAGTCCCTGTATTCTTACAGATTTACAATAAATTAGAAAGTTATACTCACCTACTTCTTCTGAAGATTTTGCAATACCAAGATTGTCCCTCAACCAACGAACAACAGCTCCTGCAATAGCAACAGAGCCCTAAAACAAAAAGGCAGACTAAAAATGTTTCATTTACTTCATGATTGTTCTTACTATATAGTATCCAAATATGTATTAACATTGATGCATGTCTATTTATTTATTTTATTAAATGTAGAAGTATATGCTGCCCATGACCTAGTCACAGATTTTTTTGCAGCTCTTACAACTATTTTTAAAGCAAACTTAAATATCTTTTAATTCACAATTAAAATTTCATGGAAACCATGGAAACGCAGTCTAGTTCATGTCCCTGTTTGACTTGCACACATGAAATGATCCTGAAATTACATGAAAGATTTGTACCCCTTCAAATACTGTAGCAACATGAGTGGTAGCGTTTACCTACAAGTAAGTGGCTGCTTGGCACCCACTGAAACTGAAATACCAAAATGCTTGCAATGAACAATTAACTTACTTCTAATGCATAACATACAGCCTTGTCTCTACCCAATTTGTAAGCCACAGTGGTTAAGAGGCCGTGCTCAGAGAGTGCAGGCTGAGAAAAACAGAAAAAGAAAACATTACTTACTTATTCCTGCTTTATAGGAAAAGTCACTGTATAATAGTCATGTACAATTTTAAAACTGAAGTGGAAAGTTTAAAGTATTAATTAGTTACCAATAAATATTTATGGGGAGAATTATAATCGCTAAATACATTTTTGACATCTTAATAAATAATAACTTTCTGGTTATATTACTTATCTAGAAATCTAATTGGGTATTTCATCTATTAAAGATAGCTATTGCCAAAATACTAAAATAATTATTTTTCAGTTGTCTTAAATACTGGCTAATATATTAGTTTTCTAATATACGTATCACTTTAAGGGTTTCATACGAATCAATTTCTCAAAAATATTATGAAGCTAAAGCCTGAACCAGGAGTCCTATTGCAATGTGATTTTGACTTGCCTTTCATGAGATGAAATGAATTTGAAATTATTTAAAAATTATATAGAAGACATTAAAGACAAAGAAAACATACTCGAACTATATTTTTTTAAAAAATATACACTTAAAGGTATTGTGCATTAATGTCTTATTTTTTAAAAAAAAAACAGCAAATTGTTTCACTCATAGCACTAACCTTATGGCCCGTATTGCAGAGTAAGAAGCAGCCTGTTCCATACCTACAGTAAAACAAAAAAGTTACTAAAGTACATCTGAAAAGCAGAATGTAATTCTTCAGCAAAATTGCTAAAGAAGAACCTGCAGTAGATACAAATCAATAAAACTTGGGGAAAAAAATAACTCTAATACAACTGAATAACATGACTCTAAATGTCCACATTTTCTATTCCTATGCTCTCTATACAATGTGTATACAATTATTAGGCAAATTAGTATTTTGACCATATCATTTTATGCATATTTTCCACCTCCATAAACTTGAATGCTTAGTGGCTATAAGGTATCATGTGATGTGTATTTGTATAATGAGGGAGGGTGTGGCCTAAAGAGATTAAAAGATGTGCATAATTATTAGGCAGCTTCTTTTCCTCAAGCAAAATGGAGAGTTAGAGATTTAATTGACTTAGAAAAGACAAAAAATATAAAAAGTCTTTTAGAGGGATGCAGCACTCTTGAAATTGCTAAAATATTGGGGTGTGATCACAGAACCTTCAAACATTTTGTTGCAAATAGTCAACAGGGTAACAAGAAATGTGTTGAGAAAAAAAGGATGTATATTAACTGCCAAAAATGTGAAACAAATCAAACGTGAAGCTACCAGGAACTCATTATCCTCCAGTGCTACCATATTCCAAAACTGCAACCTACCAGGAGTGCCCAGAAGTACAAGGTGTTCAGTGCTCGGAGACATGTGCAAGGTAAGGAAGGCTGAAACCTGACCACCACCGAACAAGTTACAGAAATTGAAATGCAAAACTGGGCAAGAAATATCTGAAGACAGATTTTTCAAAGGTTTTATGGGCTGATGAGATGAGAGTGACTCTTGAAGGACCAGATGGCTGGGCCGGTGACTGGATCAGTAACAGTCACAAGCTCCACTTCAACTCAGACTCCAGCAAAGTGGAAGTGGGGTACAGGTATGGGCTGCTGTTATTAAAGATGAGCTAATGGACCTTTTTGGATTGAAGACGGACTCACAATCAACTCCCAAACCTTTTGCCAGTTTTAGAAGACACTTTCTTCAAGCAATGGTCCAGGAAAGTCTGCATCTTTCAAGAAGATCATGATTTTTATGCAGGACAATGCTCCATCACAGTGGTTGCCAACTGGTGGGCTGCGGCCCACTGGTGGGCCGTGAGAAAATTTTGGTGGGCCGCATAGAAATCTCACCCCCAGAGCACCCCACAAAGCAATTAATCCAGGTTGCACAGAAACACAAGGCTGCACCACCCACATGGCCCAAGGCAACCCTCCCCACCCACTCACTCCTTACCTGGCAAACTTGCCTGCTAAATTGCTATTTTTCCTTTTTCCGACCATCTGTTGTTCTGCTGTGCTGGGAGATTTAGATTAGCTAGGAAGCAGGAAATGGTTGGATTTCTTGCTTTCTAGCTAGTTTTTAGATCTTTGGCTCTGATTTTAAGTACAGCCGAACCTCCCTTAGGACTGAAGGTTCTATTATTCAGTGCAGACTCATGGCAAGCAAATTTGAGAAATTGGGCTAGCCGATGACAGATAGATAGCTGAATGATTCTGTGAGCAACTCAATCTGCCTGCCTGCTTTGCCTGATTTTAGGTAAAAGTTACTCTTTTTTTAATAAAAAATTCAATATTTACATACATGGTGTGTTGTGAGTTAATTTTGTGAGTTTGCTTGCAAGCAAATTTTATGTGACAGGCTGAGCTAGTCAATGGCAGATAGATCTCTGACTGAATCTGTGATTCTGTGAGCAACTTAATCGGCCTGCTTGCTTTGCCTTATTTTGGGTAAAAGTTGCTCTTTTTTAAATAAATTCAATATTTATATATTTATAATATTTATATACAAGCCATGCCCAGCCAGTCACATGATCACCAAGCCACACCCACAAATTAGACCATGCCCACAGAACTGGTTAGTGGTCCCTGGGATTTAAAATTATGAGTTTGGTGGTCCCTGAGGTCCAAAAGGTTGGTGACCCCTGTTCCATCACATGCTAGCCAGTAAAGGCCTTAAACATAAAAAAACAATGCCATGTCTCCATTCCTCACCTGACCTAATCCTTATTGAGAATTTGTGGGTTCTGCTTAAATGGGAGATTTACAGTGAAGGAAAACAGTACATCTCTCTGAACAGCATCTGGGGGGCTGTGGATGCTGCTGTAGCAAAAGTTAATTATCAACAGATCAAGAAACTGATAGACTCCATGAATGGAAGGCTTATGATTGTTATTGAAAAGAAGGGTGGCTATATATGGAATTTTTTTTTTTGAATTGTCAGAAATGTTTATTTGTACATTTTTAGTTGTTTGTTTATTATTCTCACTTTAATAGATGCAAATGAATGAATGAGATGGACTAATTTTCATTTTTCATTTAGTTGCATAATAATTCCCAATAATTATGCAAACATAGATATTCTCCTAGGAAAGCCAAAACCTCACTTTTACTTTCTTAAATATTTAGGTTTGAGGTTTATTAA